CACAAACACTGGTAAAAAATCACGAGACTGGTCACTTAACCTGAGAAAAAAATATGTGGTTCTGGGGGACTCGAATGTTGCACACCTACCTGTGACAGGGGACTGTAGCAACAACATCCAGGTGGACAGTTTTCCGGGAGCCAAGTGGAGACATGTGACCAGCCTGTTCCTCAAATCTGGGCAAATGGAGCAGGTAGAGAGACTGGTCCTCTCATTTGGTATCAGCAACAGAACACAGAAGGACAAAAGGGCTTTGGTTAAGGAAATGCAAACTGCCCTTAAAGTAGCCAAACTTAAATGTCCTAATGCTGAGATCTTTGTTCCTGTGGTGAACTTTTCTCCCTCCTTATCACACAGGGAGCAAGCCATGCTCACACATCTCAATATTCACATCTCTCAGCTCAACAGGTTCATCCCTGCCCAGGACGCTGCCTTTTTCAGGGTTAAACCAGACAAGGTCCATTGGACCAGATTCACGGCTGCCAGGATGTGGGACCTCTGGTCTGCCTGGTTAAAATAGGCAGCCCTGATAGCCTGCCAGGACAGGAAGGGCATAGAAGCATTGTTAATAACAATGTTTGTAATTTGTCCAGATCTTTTGTACTGTCTGACGCACAGCGTTCTTTGTTAAACAGGGGTTTAACCTTCATCCCCTCTCACAGCAAAGCTAAAAACAATGACACAATGCTGCAGATCAGACACGATTTACAAAAATACCATAGGAGAATCAAATTAGCTGTTCATTTTAAGGAAGATGGTACAGCTAAAACAGGTAAACCAAAACCTTTCATGCCAGAATCAGAATGGGCGCCCCCTGCTGGCACTTTGCCGCCAGAAGTTAACTCACTTATTGAGGAGGATCTTGGTTATTTCAACAAAACATTTTACATGAACAAGTCCAAACCTAACTTGAGTATTAACGAAACCAAAGCACTCAAGGAATTAACAGGCAACAAGAACATTATTATCAAGCCGGCTGATAAGGGGAGCTCTATTGTCATCATGGACAGGGCACAATATCTCTGGGAAGGTAAAAGACAACTGCTGGACACCACCTATTACAATAAACTAGACAAACCCATTTATCCAGAGACCATCCCCATGGTTACTAAAATCATTGACTCTTTGTATGAGAAAAGGTTTATTAATGCAAAACAGCGCAGATATCTTAAAGGCTCTTCGGAACCAAGAGCCAGAAGGTTCTATTTGTTACCGAAGATCCACAAGGAACCAGCAAAATGGAGTAAACCCCATGAGATCCCACCGGGTAGACCCATCGTGTCTGACTGCAACAGTGAAACATATCAAACAGCAGAATTCATCGATCACTATTTAAATCCCCTATCAATAACACACGACAGTTACATCAAGGACACGTATGACTTTATAAACAAGATCAAACAAATCATCCTGCCAGACAACTCCATTCTGTTCACCATGGATATAGACAGCTTATATAAAAATATTGACATAACCGAAGGCATTAATGCAGTCAAACAAATTCTCCTTAAACACCCCAACAGCAGAAGGCCAGACAAGGAGCTACTCCAGCTATTACAAATTAATCTGAGAAGGAATGATTTTGAATTTGATGGCCAATTCTACCTGCAAATCAAGGGAACAGCGATGGGGAAGAAGTTTGCTCCAGCGTATGCAAATATCTTCATGGCACAATGGGAGACGGAGGCATTAAACAAATGTGTAAAGAAACCACTTTATTATTACAGATATCTAGATGACATCTGGGGGGTCTGGACTCACTCGGAGGAAGACTTTCAACTATTTCTAAACACGCTAAACACACATAACCCATCCATAAAGCTGAAATCATCCACTAATGCTAAATCAGTTGATTTTTTAGACACCACAACCTTTAAAGGCCCAAATTTCAGCTCCACACACAAACTTGACATAAAGGTTTATTTTAAACCTACGGACACACACGCATTGCTTTTTAAAACCAGTTACCATCCAAAGCACACATATGCGGGTCTTATTAAATCCCAGCTACTTCGCTTCCACAGAATCTGCACTCAGGAAAGCGACTTCAAGGAAGCCACTCGGATACTGTTTTCAGCACTATCCTTAAGAGGATATTCTAGAGCATTTCTGAAAACATGTAAAGCTTCCTTCCTGGAGTCCAGACCCAAGGACACATCACCATTATTGCCTTTGGTCACCACTTATTCTCCCTCGGCAGGAAAACTAATTCATAAAATCAAACAAAACTTTTCTAAATTCCAATCAGACTAACTTACTGCAAAATCACAGGGTAATTGCGGCCTACAGACGGAACCAAAACCTGAAAGATTTTCTGGTTCAGGCCAAGCTGAGACCCCTACAACAACCTAAGGTCAAAGGTCAAAGTGATTTTTTAACCAACTGCGCTGGATACAAAACAGGTTTAACAAAACCGTTTATCCCATCACACAAGCAGGTAACCCTAAAACCAAAAACTGTGTGTATTTAATTCAGTGCAAAATCTGTAAAATGAGATATGTGGGAGAAACAGGAAATAGCATTTTAACACGCTTCACACAACACAGACACAACATTACAAAAAGCCATAACACACAGCGACCAGTAGTCAAACACTTTATTGAACATGGCTGGCAAGCCCTCACAGCCACGATCCTACAGTCAGATCCAAACTGGTCCACAAAACAACGGAAAAGAGCTGAACGGCTCTGGATCTACAGATTGGACACACTTGTTCCCACAGGTGTGAATGAGGGATAGATCTGCACCGGTGGACTAAGTGCAGGAGAGTCTGTGCACGTAGGCGACTGGGACTTTCTTTTCTTCAACTCCTAACCGGCCAGTGGCCTCCAGCAACCTGTCTGCTGCAGATTTGTTCCTCCTGATGACCTCTGGAGGGGCACTGCCCTCCCATTTAATACTCTGATGCAATATTTCCACAACAGTTCTTTGGAAAATGAAAAAATGAGTAGAAATAAAGCAAGTGTTCTTCTGTACATTACTTACCTCTTCCCTGACTTTATCTGTTGGTCACTCACCCATCCAGTTCTGCCAACAGGGGGAGTCTGCTGGACATGGAGGAGGGCAGTATTTGTAAGACTCAGAATACAAATTGATTCTTTAATCTAATCCTAACCCCATCCTTATTCTAACCCTAAAATAGTGGAGTAGATTAGATTAATTAACCTAACCCCAACCCCTGTTCTAACCCAAACTTGGAGTAAATTGGATTAATTAACCTAACCCCAACCCTTATTCTAACCCTAAACTTGGAGTAAATTGGATTATTTAACCTAACCCCAATCCCTATTCCAACCCTAAACAGTGGAGTAGATTGTCCTAACCTTAACCAATATTGGACACTAAAAACCGGAATATCTGACACAAATTCCTTTGAGTCTTACCATCAATTGCCTCTTCCAGCCAGCAAACCTTCACCCCTGGTTGACAGGTCTCAAGTCCCACACAGATGTTGGATTGTTCAGATTAAAAGGACACACCTAAACTTAATTTTCTAATCAGCTACAGATGACTCATGTAGTTCACAGTTTTGCCCACTAGAGGGCAAGAGTGTATCAGAAATGTAGCAGGGAAAGGAGTCAGTCAGATAGAGTAAAGCCAGTGTGGGGAATCTCATGTCTTGGAATTTGAATTTCTTTTAAATCATGCCCCACAGAAGGTTTGTTTTCATATAACACATGAATGCAAAGTGTTATGTACGTTGTGTCTGTATTTATCTATTTTTTATGGTAATAACATGTTGTAAATGTAATCTGGTTAGTGAAAAGTGCCAGGCGCTCTCTTGGACACTAGGGGGAGTATGGACCGGAACTCTAAATATGGTCCTACCACTCCCGCGGCGCTCTGGATTGGTCCAATTTGATTGGACACAAGTACAGGTGCTAATAGAGCCAATTGATGCTTGTTAACTGGTGTGCGCTAGATGAAACCGGTCAGAAACAGAACGGGACAACCATTCTGGACCGAGCTTCGACGACAAGAGAAGGTTCTATGCGCTTTTACAAGCTCTTAGCCTGATGAAGACTCATTGAGGAGTCGAAACGTAGCATTTAGCTTGTTTTTTGTAAATATTTTGTTTCTTTGTTCCAGTTAACTTTTTCACGTTTGTTCAATAAATGGCCAGTTGCCAACATTTTAAGCCGCAGTTTTTCGGTTCTTTCATTTAATTCCACTTGTTTTTTTAGATAGTTAGCTACACAGTTAGTTAGTTTAGCACCTGTTTTTTAACTACCGGACATCTCCAGAATGACGTGGGACTATTTCCCACCGGATGAGATGGAGGAGGAGTCGGGCTGGACACAGGTTCGCTACCGAGGGGGAAGACGACGGGACGTTCAGCGGAACCAGCAGAATAGAGGACGTTTCCAACGACGCCACTCTCCCCAGCAACGACGGCCTCGCTATCAACAGGACCGCAGCTGGCAGTCGCAGTACCCCCAGCGGTACCCCCAGAGACGCAAGTCTTACGCGTCAGCCGCCAGGTACGGTCCCTCTTACCCCCAGCGTCCATTCCAACCCTCCAGGAGCCGCAGTAGGGGCTTCAATAAGCGGTACCAGAACCAAGGACCCCAGGGTTGGAACCGACAAAAGAAACGCGCTCGGCGACCCCCACAGGGACAGTACGCGCAGCAGGGTGCACAGACCCGAAACCGGTCAGAGGCGCCACAAAGATCTGATGACCCAGACTTCACAATAAAGGTCAGAACCATGCACAGACTTCTTAAAGCAGCACATCACTTAAAAAATGTGTCGGATAAGGACAATAACCCACCCGGCATTCAAAACATAACCGCGTACTTGGCCACGATCATCAAACCCGCGGCTCCATCTACCAGAACTTCCACATTAATAGATGGTAATGCGAGATCGTGGGCCTACACCACCATGCTGATCCTTAGACAACACTACCAAGATCAGATGGAGTCAGAAAAACGCACTTTGCAAGATCTTGGGGGAAACCTACTGGCTCCATTAGAAATGGGCCAGAAGGAATTTGGGGAGACGTTTCAGACCAGAATCGGTGGAAGAGGTGCAGGTCTTCCTGATGTCGGATGAGAAAAAGGACTCACAAGAACCAGCAACTCCCTCATCGGAAAATGGTGAACCTGATGAACGTACATCTGTTCTTGAGTCCTCCACGCAGACCACGCCCCCTCCGCACTCCCAACAACACAGGGGGCAGAGTGAGGATGAACTTTCCGTTTATGCATCCTCTCCCTACGCTCCCAGGGGCTCCGTGAGATCACAATCTCCTCTTCCGGCCCCCCCACATTCACCACCACCACCACCACCCCACAGGACAACAGTGGCAACGATGACGGAACCATCCAGAGGGGACTGGTCACCTGCAGCATCCAACGAGGAACGACACAGCAGCCGTCCCCTCTTTCCAGCTGTAGCAGCACCACCCACACCATCACCCCAGGCACGCAGCACTCCACAGACGCCGGCTCTTCCCCAAAGGCAGCGGAAATCATCCAGCCAGGAGGAAACGTACACGCAGAGGACAACAGGATCCTCCCCTTCAGTCGTGATGGAGTCTCCGCCTCGACCCCGCGGCGTGACAGCAGAGGAACAGACCATCATAGACGAATTCCTTGCTTATGAAGCAATGATGCGCTCACACCCACTACCTGCTGCTTCTGCTCCACCACTGCTGGAACCTACGCCTGTCGCCCTCCGTCGCCGGATGGAAAAGAGCACACAGAGGCAACTTTCCTTCCAGCAAACGACTCACCCACCGCTCACCGCAGCCACCGCCACCACCCCCACCGAGTCTGATAAATCACCTTCATCTCAGGTAAATGCCACAACCAGACACACAAACACTGGTAAAAAATCACGAGACTGGTCACTTAACCTGAGAAAAAAATATGTGGTTCTGGGGGACTCGAATGTTGCACACCTACCTGTGACAGGGGACTGTAGCAACAACATCCAGGTGGACAGTTTTCCGGGAGCCAAGTGGAGACATGTGACCAGCCTGTTCCTCAAATCTGGGCAAATGGAGCAGGTAGAGAGACTGGTCCTCTCATTTGGTATCAGCAACAGAACACAGAAGGACAAAAGGGCTTTGGTTAAGGAAATGCAAACTGCCCTTAAAGTAGCCAAACTTAAATGTCCTAATGCTGAGATCTTTGTTCCTGTGGTGAACTTTTCTCCCTCCTTATCACACAGGGAGCAAGCCATGCTCACACATCTCAATATTCACATCTCTCAGCTCAACAGGTTCATCCCTGCCCAGGACGCTGCCTTTTTCAGGGTTAAACCAGACAAGGTCCATTGGACCAGATTCACGGCTGCCAGGATGTGGGACCTCTGGTCTGCCTGGTTAAAATAGGCAGCCCTGATAGCCTGCCAGGACAGGAAGGGCATAGAAGCATTGTTAATAACAATGTTTGTAATTTGTCCAGATCTTTTGTACTGTCTGACGCACAGCGTTCTTTGTTAAACAGGGGTTTAACCTTCATCCCCTCTCACAGCAAAGCTAAAAACAATGACACAATGCTGCAGATCAGACATGATTTACAAAAATACCATAGGAGAATCAAATTAGCTGTTCATTTTAAGGAAGATGGTAAAGCTAAAACAGGTAAACCAAAACCTTTCATGCCAGAATCAGAATGGGCGCCCCCTGCTGGCACTTTGCCGCCAGAAGTTAACTCACTTATTGAGGAGGATCTTGGTTATTTCAACAAAACATTTTACATGAACAAGTCCAAACCTAACTTGAGTATTAACGAAACCAAAGCACTCAAGGAATTAACAGGCAACAAGAACATTATTATCAAGCCGGCTGATAAGGGGAGCTCTATTGTCATCATGGACAGGGCACAATATCTCTGGGAAGGTAAAAGACAACTGCTGGACACCACCTATTACAATAAACTAGACAAACCCATTTATCCAGAGACCATCCCCATGGTTACTAAAATCATTGACTCTTTGTATGAGAAAAGGTTTATTAATGCAAAACAGCGCAGATATCTTAAAGGCTCTTCGGAACCAAGAGCCAGAAGGTTCTATTTGTTACCGAAGATCCACAAGGAACCAGCAAAATGGAGTAAACCCCATGAGATCCCACCGGGTAGACCCATCGTGTCTGACTGCAACAGTGAAACATATCAAACAGCAGAATTCATCGATCACTATTTAAATCCCCTATCAATAACACACGACAGTTACATCAAGGACACGTATGACTTTATAAACAAGATCAAACAAATCATCCTGCCAGACAACTCCATTCTGTTCACCATGGATATAGACAGCTTATATAAAAATATTGACATAACCGAAGGCATTAATGCAGTCAAACAAATTCTCCTTAAACACCCCAACAGCAGAAGGCCAGACAAGGAGCTACTCCAGCTATTACAAATTAATCTGAGAAGGAATGATTTTGAATTTGATGGCCAATTCTACCTGCAAATCAAGGGAACAGCGATGGGGAAGAAGTTTGCTCCAGCGTATGCAAATATCTTCATGGCACAATGGGAGACGGAGGCATTAAACAAATGTGTAAAGAAACCACTTTATTATTACAGATATCTAGATGACATCTGGGGGGTCTGGACTCACTCGGAGGAAGACTTTCAACTATTTCTAAACACGCTAAACACACATAACCCATCCATAAAGCTGAAATCATCCACTAATGCTAAATCAGTTGATTTTTTAGACACCACAACCTTTAAAGGCCCAAATTTCAGCTCCACACACAAACTTGACATAAAGGTTTATTTTAAACCTACGGACACACACGCATTGCTTTTTAAAACCAGTTACCATCCAAAGCACACATATGCGGGTCTTATTAAATCCCAGCTACTTCGCTTCCACAGAATCTGCACTCAGGAAAGCGACTTCAAGGAAGCCACTCGGATACTGTTTTCAGCACTATCCTTAAGAGGATATTCTAGAGCATTTCTGAAAACATGTAAAGCTTCCTTCTTGGAGTCCAGACCCAAGGACACATCACCATTATTGCCTTTGGTCACCACTTATTCTCCCTCGGCAGGAAAACTAATTCATAAAATCAAACAAAACTTTTCTAAATTCCAATCAGACTAACTTACTGCAAAATCACAGGGTAATTGCGGCCTACAGACGGAACCAAAACCTGAAAGATTTTCTGGTTCAGGCCAAGCTGAGACCCCTACAACAACCTAAGGTCAAAGGTCAAAGTGATTTTTTAACCAACTGCGCTGGATACAAAACAGGTTTAACAAAACCGTTTATCCCATCACACAAGCAGGTAACCCTAAAACCAAAAACTGTGTGTATTTAATTCAGTGCAAAATCTGTAAAATGAGATATGTGGGAGAAACAGGAAATAGCATTTTAACACGCTTCACACAACACAGACACAACATTACAAAAAGCCATAACACACAGCGACCAGTAGTCAAACACTTTATTGAACATGGCTGGCAAGCCATCACAGCCACGATCCTACAGTCAGATCCAAACTGGTCCACAAAACAACGGAAAAGAGCTGATCGGCTCTGGATCTACAGATTGGACACACTTGTTCCCACAGGTTTGAATGAGGGATAGATCTGCACCGGTGGACTAAGTGCAGGAGAGTCTGTGCACAAAGCCCCAGTCGCCGTAGGCGACTGGGTCTTTCTTTTCTTCAACTCCTAACCCTAACCCTAACCCTCGAAACGCGTAGCCAAATGGGATGGGAGCAACCTAAAAAGCTAAAAGAAGCAAGACTAATGCTAATTATTTGAAGGAAGGGAATGTCAGAAGGATTCATAAAAATCATCTATTTTAAGACTCAGTACAGTGTGGAGCTGTGTGCACATGGGTGGGGGCCACCTAGGCATGCATGTGTGGACTAAACGCCAGGAGTGCCAGTGCACAAAGGGTCTCCTAAACAGAGACCCTTTCTTTTCTTAAAAAGACCTAACCTGCCAGCGGCCTCCCGCAGCCTGTCCACCTTGCTGCTGGGGTGCCCTCACTTTTGCTTGCAGTTTTTGAGACCCAGACCGTTTTTTTTATTTTTTTAAGCCCTACAATTCCTTCTAACCCTGACCCTGAACTCTTACCCTTACCTTAAAAACCTTGAACCCTCAGAATTCACATTTAAGCCACATACCTGGAAGTTCCGTAAGAGGCGGGACCTAAGTTCCGTAAGAGGCGGGACTTAGGACTGCCTCTTGTATATAAACAAGCCACACAGATGGAAGCAAGCAAGCCACACACATGGAAGGAAAGATCAGATTAAGGGGTGCCAATCTAAATTAAGATGTTGCGAAAAGGGAAAAAGAGGAATAAGAACAAATACTTACCTCAGAGTTCTATGGCCTGATGAAGACTAAAAAAAGAGTCGAAACGCGTAGCCAAATGGGATGGGAGCAACCTAAAAAGCTAAAAGAAGCAAGACTAATGCTAATTATTTGAAGGAAGGGAATGTCAGAAGGATTCATAAAAATCATCTATTTTAAGACTCAGTACAGTGTGGAGCTGTGTGCACATGGGTGGGGGCCACCTAGGCATGCATGTGTGGACTAAACGCCAGGAGTGCCAGTGCACAAAGGGTCTCCTAAACGGAGACCCTTTCTTTTCTTAAAAAGACCTAACCAGGGGGAGTCGACGAGATAAATAATTTACACCTAACCCTAACCCTTTACTCAACCTAACCCTAACCCTATCTCCGGACCGGAAGGTCATAGAGCCAAACCGATGCCACCAATCGAAAGCCAGACCCATTAGACGGGGGGTAGGACTTGGTTTCAAGTCTCTAGCACCTTCCTATCCAAAGTTATTCACGTTTGAAAAAGTGTCTGACGATCGTCAAAACCCCATATCAGCACACAATCGCAGACTGGGCTCATCTTGCTCAGAGTGTGGACACTAAAATTAAAGTGATAAAGACATGTGAATAATTTAATATGCTATTTCACTTTTTTTTCTCAGCTCAGTAAGTCTTATGAGAAGAGTCTGGGTTTATGGCTTCAACATTGATTGTAATATTACCTTAATTTCACAGATGCCAGTTCCATGGCAGTCACAAGTGACTACACCATCTGGGGAGGAGCCCATATATGGCCACCTGGGGTTCAGCCAGAGACCACTGTTCACACAAGAAAAGCCTGCATGCTCCCGACCCATTAGCTTCTCATACGCTCCTCTGGCCTGTGATTCATGTTGGCATCCATAACTGCAAACAGTACATATGCAAATCGTGAAAAAGAAAATAAATATTTATTACTGGATGAATAGAATCACTTACATTTTTAGAATTTGTCATTATCCTAACCCCTACACAGAGTCCTACTCCTGTATAAACCTATAGATACAAAACTACAAATAGTTTTAACAGTTTATTACTGTCCATATTAAGAATCAAGAAAAGGGTGAAAATCTGTTATGAATAAAAAAGGCCTAATATAAAGGCAGAATGTAGATTGCTGTTTTGTTGTGGTCTGGATTCTCCAACTTCATAAAACATTTTTTTTTATTTATTTTTTACATAAAGTTCTCAATGTGGACAGATCTTACAGCTTACCCTGAATCCAACCCTAAATACCTTGTGGCATCTGTGGTGAACCTATATGCTTCTGGGTAGCATATAGCCATGATCAAGCTCTTGGAGGGTTGCTGGGGGCTGGTTCTAAGAACTCTTCTCATCTTTGATGCAGTGATGCATCCAGCTCTCTGCCTAAACAAAATCCTGCTTGCACTCTGATCTCGGGTAGCCGTCTCTACAGCCTGGACTTGGGACGGGGTGAGCTCTTCAAACTGGAACTCCTGGCACAGCTCTGCAAGCTCTTTGGGTGGTAAATGCAAAGTTTCTGAAGTTCTATAGTCAAGAACAGTTTTAGGGAGCATACTAGATTTGGGGATGAATTCTTTGTAGTATGGCTCCCGTGCCATCAGTGCTGCACTCTTTGGACAGTTTTTACTTAAGGCATCAAAAAACCTGTTATAGGTTTCTGATCCCTTCTTCACCCTTGGACACAGAAGCGATTTCACAGGCTTGCTGTCGGTTGTCCTGCCATCAATGGAACGGTCAAGCTTTAGTTTCTTGGACTTTGCTGAGGAGAAGTCAATCATAGCAACGGGGGCAGCAGGAATCTGAAAATAATTTAATCCAAATAAGGTAATCAAGTCCAAATTTTTTTAGCTTGGCCTGCCAGACTCCACCTCTGTTTAATTCTACACAGAGAAGTACTACTCTGTGTAGAATTAAACATAGGTGGAGTCTGGCAGGCCAGCCTACACACTTCTAGGGTCTATAACACACTTAAATGCTGTAACAAATCTGGCACTCGTTGCAGGTAAAGCATTATTATAGGACTGAGATCCAACAAGGCATTCAGGTAATGAATTTTGGCTGTATTACTTCTTTGCCCAACAAAGAAGCTGTGGTTTACTAAAATGTCACAAGCAAAATAACTTTTAACTGAATACAAACCAGAAAACAAAAACCTTTATAGGACAATAAAAGATTGTTTACAAAGAGGAGAGACTATGTGGACAAGAGGTCAGGGATTGAACTTGGAAAAATCCAGACAGAGCCATGAGATTATACAAAGCAGCAGAAGAAATCAAAGCTTTTGCTGCTACTCACTAGGGGCAAGAAGTGACAAGTCAGCAGACGTTTCTATCTCATGCTTGAATGGTTCTTGAAAACTTACAGTAGGTCTTGGTATTTGATTAAATGCACAAAGTGTTTGCTCCTCTAAGTTTGTGAATATTCCACCAGAGGGGATAATGTAATCGAGTAGGCAAGTTGAAAAATGAACCTCCTCCTCATAATGGGGTGAGAGCGTGAGCCTTCTGTGCATTTTGTACAAGTAAAATTTAAAAGAAGTAAAAAAAAAATCATGATTAATATCAAATATCTCTGGGAAAATAAAATATAGACGAGAATAAGTAATCAACTTGTCTACAAATTATTAGGTCCTTGTAACTGAGCCAGAGCAAAGTCATTAACAACAGGGCACAACCTAATAATTTACATCTCATAGTTAGCCTAGTCCTCCATATTGATCAGAAATGACATTCTCTGATTATTGTTACCTTTTTAACATGTGATGGCATCAACCACTTGCACTGCTCAGATGTAGAAGAAGCAGAGTCTTGCATTCTCACCCCGGCTTCAATGGAGAACAGGACTGCCCCCACATGAGAAAATGACTCCGATAGTCTGTGAATAGAACACTATATTATATGTACAACACTAATGCCATAACAAGAATCTCAGCCTACATAGATCACTTACCCTGCCATGCAGTTGCAATGAGCTGCAATAACTTCACCATCTTCCTTCGAAATAATCCACGTCTTCAGAGGTGTTTCACTCGATCTTTGTGAGTGGTTTACATTGAAACATCAACGACTGTCAGGCTAATGACATCGTTACTGCGTGTTGATGTTAATCCTCCTAGCTGCTAACTAGCCTAGCGTGCCAGATTCATACTCCGTTTAATTCTACACAGAATGATAGTTCTCTGTGTAGAATTAAACAAGAGCACGAGTCTGGCAGGCTAGGCTAGCTGCTAACAAATTTATGTATAAATCAATCTAAAGACAAGAACTCACCCTAGCGAATACCAGACGATAAACATCACGGAGCCGTTTAGTACCGAGATTGTGGACCCACCCGCTAACAAAAAAATTATATGTCTCCAGACTTTTATATGCTTTCATTTGTTGTTTAGTGTGGAACGATGTCTGAAGGACCAGGTAGTTTGTAATATCAACAGACTCTATTCTCGGCATAGCGGTTAATTCTGGGGTAAACTCACTCATTTTCATTAAATACGGATCACGTCCAACATATTTGTTTGTTAAATCCATGTACCTTTGTTTCGAAACTGAGTCTAAAGACATGCAATGAGGATTCTCTTCTGCGGTTTCCTCCATAGCTGTACTCTGCTGTTTACTTCCTGCCCTCCAACCAAAATCCGTGCGTCATTTTAACCACGTGACTGAAACCCAGCAATTATATGTTTTATTATTATGTCTAAATTGTCGTAGTCAGTTGTTCTTTTATTGATTAATTTTTTTACAACTTCTCTTACTTCTTCATTAGTCACTGGATTTAATAACATGCTATTTTTGTTACTTACAATTTTTTCGCCTATGTTATAATTAGTTCTTTTTGAAATGTTGTTTGCCAAGCTTGGTCCCACGTTGATAAAGATTTTATTAAATTAATTGACGATTTTGTTTGGATTATTTCAGTGTCGTCGACGTTGCCTTCCTCCGCTTATCCGGGTCCGAGTCGCGGGGGCAGCATCCCAACTAGGGACCTCCAGACCGTCCTCTCCCCAGCCTTCTCCACCAGCTCCTCCGGCAGGACCCCAAGGCGTTCCCGAACCAGATTGGAGATGTAACCTCTCCAACATGCCCTGGGTCGACCCAGGGGCCTCCTACCGGCACGACATGCCCGAAACACCTCCCCGGGGAGGCGTCCAGGAGGCATCCTGACCAGATGCCCAAATCACCTCAACTGGCTCCTTTCGATCCGGAGGAGCAGCGGTTCTACTCCGAGTCCCTCCCGAATGTCCGAGCTCCTAGCCCTATCTCTAAGGCTGAGCCCGGCCACCCTACGGAGGAAACTTATTTCGGCCGCTTGTATCCGCAATCTCGTTCTTTCGGTCATTACCCAAAGCTCATGACCATAGGTGAGGATTGGGACGTAGATCGACCGGTAAATCGAGAGCCTGGCTTTCTGGCTCAGCTCCCTCTTCGCCACTACAGATCGGCTCAGCGTCCACATCACTGCAGATGCTGAACCAATCCGCCTGTCGATCTCCCGATCCCTCCTACCCTCACTCGTGAACAAGACCCCGAGATACTTAAACTCCTCTACTTGAGGTAGGACCTTTCCCCCGACCAGGAGTTGGCAAGCCACCCTTTTCCGGTCGAGAACCATGGTCTCAGATTTGGAGGTGCTGATCCTCATCCCAGCCACTTCACACTTGGCCGCGAACCTACCCAGCAAGAGCTGAAGGTCAGAGCTGGATGAAGCTAGGAGGACCACATCATCCGCAACAAGCAGAGACGAGATTCTCCTGCCACCAAACTCGACATACTCCACACCACGGCTGCGCCTAGAAATTCTGTCCATAAAAGTAAGGAACAGAACCGGTGACAATGGGCAGCCCTGGCGGAGTCCAACCCTCACCGGGAACAGGTCCGACTTAATACCGGCTATGCAGACAAAACTCACGCTCCTCTGGTAAAGGGACTGAATGGGCTTTAACAGAAAGCCACCCACCCCATACTCCTGGAGCGTCCCCCACAGGGTGCCCCTGTGGACATGGTCATAAGCCTTCTCCAAGTCCTCAAAACACATGTGGATTGTTTGGGCAAACTCCCATGCCCCCTCCATCACCCTTGCAAGGGTATAGAGCTGGTCCACAGTTCCACGGCCAGGACGAAAACCACATTGCTCCTCCTCAATCTGAGATTGAACTATCGATCGGACCCTCCTCTCCAGTACCTTGGAGTAGACCTTTCCAGGGAGGCTGAGGAGTGTGATCCCCCTATAGTTGGAACACACCCTCAGGTCACCCTTCTTAAAGAAGGGGACCACCACCCCGGTCTGCCATTCCACAGAAACTGCCCCCGATGACCACACAATGTTGCAGAGACGTGTCAACCATGACAGCCCTACAACATCCATAGCCTTCAGATACCCAGGACGAACCTCATCCGCCGCCGGGGCTCCGCCGCTGTGTAGTTATTTGACTACCTCAGCAACTTGTGCCCCCGAGATTGGACATTCCATCCCCAGGTCTCCCGGCTCTAGTTCCTCCTCTGAATGCGCATAGGTGGGATTGAGAAGCTCCTCAAAGTATTCCTTTCACCATCCGACTGTAGCCCCGGTTGACGTCAGCAGCTCCCCATCCCCACTGTAAACAGTGTGAGCGAGTTGCTGCCTTCCTCTCCTGAGGCGCCGGACAGTTTGCCAGAACCTCTTTGGAGCCGATCGATAGTCTTTCTCCATGGCCTCACCAAACTCCTCCCACGCCCGAGACTTTGCCTCGGCAACAGCCACTGCTGCACCCCGCTTGGCTGTCCGGTACCTGTCTGCTGCCTCCGGAGACCCACAGACCAGCCACGCCCTGTAGGCCTCCTTCTTCAGCCTGACGGCTCCCTGAACCTCTGGTGTCCACCATCGGGTACGGGGGTTGCCACCATGACTGGCACCGGTCACCTTGCGACCACAGCTAGCAACAGCCGCCTCAACAATCGCAGAGTGGAACAAGGCCCACTCGGAGTCAATGCCCCCACTGCTCTCGGGACGTGGTCAAAGCTCTGCCGGAGGTGGGAGTTGAAGACCGTCTTAACAGGTTCTTCTGCCAGGCGTTCCCAGCAGACCCTCACTATGCGTTTAGGTCTGCCAGGTCTACGCGGCATCTTCCCCTGCCTTCTGATCCAACTCACCACCAGGTGGTGATCAGTTGACAGCTCCGCTCCTCTCTTCACTCGGGTGTCCAAAACATACGGCTGCAGGTCAGGTGATACGACTACAAAGTCTATCATCGACCTGCGACCAAGGCTGCCCTGGTACCAAGTGTACCGATGGGCATCCTTATGTTCGAACATGGTGTTTGTTATGGCCAAACTGCGGCTTGCACAGAAGTCCAATAACGAAACACCACTCGAGTTCAGATCAGGCGGGCCGTTCCTCCCAGTCACACCCCTCCAGGTCAAGCTGTCATTGCCCACGTGAGCATTGAAGTCCCCCAGCAGGACAATGGAGTCCCCTGATGGAGCACTATCTAGCACTCGTCCCAGGGACTCCAAAAAGGGTGGGTACTCTGAACTGATATTTGGCCCATAAGCACAAACAACAGTCAGAACCCGTTCCCTGACCCAAAGGCGCAGGGAAGCTACCCTCTCGTCCCCCGGGGTAAACCCCAACACACAGGCAGAGAGTCTTGGGGCTAACAAAAAGCCAACCCCAGCCCTCCGCCTCTCACCTGGAGCAACTCCAGCAAAGGAGAGTGTCCAACCCCTCTCAAGGACTTGGGTTCCAGAGCCAATGCTATGTGTCGAGGTAAGTCCGACTATATCTAGCCGGTACCGCTCAACCTCTGCCACAAGCTCCTGCTCCTTCCCCGCCAGCGAGGTGACATTCCATGTCCCAAAAACTAGTTTTCTTGTCCATGGATCGGACCGCCAAGGCTCCCGCCTTGGTCTACCACCCGATCCACATTGCACCGGACTCTTCATGTTCCTGCTGCGGGTGGTGGGTCGACAGTTGGATGAGCCCATGTATCCGGTTCGGGCTGGGCCCGGCCAGGCCCCATGGGCGAAAGCCCGGCCACCAGGCGCTTGCTCATGGGTCCCAACCCCAGGCCTGGCTCCAGGGTGGGACCCCGGTAACCCTCCGGGCCGGGTAATCCGACTCTTTGACTGTACCTCCATGAAAGATCCTGTGAATCGTTCTTTGTCTCACCCTTCACCTAAGACCAATTTGTCATGGGAGACCCTACCAGGGGCACAAAGTGCCCCAGACAACATAGCTCCTAGGATCATTAGGGCACTCAAACTCCTCCACCATGATAAGGTGACGGCTCAAGGAGGAGTATTTCAGTGTCATTTAAAAAATAATTCCGAACAGTTGAAACTGATTTATTTCTTTTTATAACATTGTTTATTATTCCCCAAGTTGCCTTTATATTGTTTTTATTTTTTTCTAGTAGATTGCTATAATAATTTTTTTGTCATTTTAATATTGAAACTAATTTATTCTTATATTTTTTTTATCTGTGCTCAGCTTCGCTGGTTCTTTAAAAAGCTTCTGTATAGGGCTTTTTTTTCTTGCAGGCATTCTACAGTCCTTTTGTCAACCATGGTTTATTCGTATTATCTTTTTTGTAAGTTTTTTTTATTTTACAGTTTTTTTCATATTGACTGCACAGTATTCTTATAAAAGAGCTGTAAGCCAAGTTTACATCATTCATATATATTTCATCCCAGTTTTGCTGTTCTAGGGCTCTATTAAATGAGTCTATGGCTTTTTGTGATTGATCCTTATAAGATTTTCCATTTGAGGTTGATGTCTAATCTGATCATTCTTGTAGCATGTGAAAACTGGCAGATGATCACTAATATCAGTCATTATGATTCCAACACTCTCCAACCCCCCTGAAACATTACTGAATATGTTATCCATAATCGTTGAGCTTTGTACAGTAATTCTTGTGGGTTTGGTTATCAGAGGAAACAGACCAAGTAGATGCATGGAGCTTACAAAGTTGCTTGATAAATTGTATTTTTCAAATCAATGTTGAAGTCCCCACAGAGAAACAAATTCTTGTTACCGATTCCATTTACCATTCCCTAAACAGTGTTTGTGAATGTTTCAATACAGGAACCTGGTGCTCTATAAATACTGCTAATTACTATGTTTTTTGTCTTCTCAGATGTTATTTCAACAGTGATCATTTCCATTACATCAGCAGTTGCTGTCGACATGTACATCACTTTGCTTTTAAGGGTGTTACATATATACAGTGCTACACCACCACCTTTTTTATTTTCCCCACTCTGGTAATACATCTCATACCCATCTATGTGAATGTCCTTAATATCTCCTTCTTGTAACCATGTTTCTGTAACTGCAATGACCTTAAATCTCATTTTATTTTGTGTTAAAACTTCAATATTTTATCATAATTGCAATGCAAACTTCTACTATTGAAGTGGATGATGGACAGTGTAGTAGCAGTTTCTAGGTGACAGAAGGACATCTGCCAAAGGAGAGCGGGACTATTATTTAAGGCTAGACCTGTTAACATCCAGTTTAACCGGTCCCAGATAAACATGTTCTCCTGAGACAAATAAGGACGGGTACTCATGAGCATGAAACCCCTGAATTTGGACACAGCCAGTGTACACCTGGGAGGATATCCAGGTGAGAACTAGTCCATAAATTATTGTAAATGCAATCTGTTGGACATTTGTCATCCTGAGTGTCTTTGCTGCAGATGGTGTCAAACAAAAGTGCTCGATCAGCTGACCTTGCTTGGTAACAAGGTTAGAGTAATCACAACCCTTAGCCAGCTTTGACATGTCCTGCAGTTTTATGAGACAGATGTAAACAAGTACAGAATGATTCTAAGATTTACCTAGAACTTTACATCTCTCTGAAAACAAGACGTTTTTTTAATGGTGTAAAAAATGATCAAATTTTATGAACACACTCAGAACCACAGAAGAAAAGTCTTTAATGGAGTTTATAAGCGAGAAACACATTCAGAGTAAAAACTAAAGTAAAAATTGACACCAGGGGACATGGTCAGAGAAAAAAAAATACACACAACAGATAAATATATAGACAATACTTTATAAAATGATGCTTTTATCTCATTCAACTTCTAGAAGTTCAGGACCTTGATGATTTCATTGGATTCTTTAATTTAATGTTTAATATTAAATTGGGAAGGATCACTTCTTAGACCTTTTTGTATTTTTGTCTGCTTGGTCATATAAGGAAAGAAGCAACAAGTTTAACTTGGCAGCAGGATGTGGAAATGAGGTTTTCATGCTGAGTTGAAACTATTCTGTTCTGGAAGAGCTTATCTTGTGAAGAGGGTCATGCATAACATATTATAGCAGATGAGATTCTGATTACGAACAAATTAGGTCACATGCCACTAATTTATAAAAGCAAAAAAAAAAACGATGCTCAAACTGTCAGTTTATTAAATAAAGTATTTCTCCTGCTGATAATTTACCTCCCCAACACCACCTTGCTGGTCAGGATGCCTCTGATTGAAAGACAAACTGAAAATTGCAATGTTTCATCAGGGTTTCCATGATAGATTACTGTTGCATGTTGGGTAAATACTGAGCTGAGCAGGACACAGTTTCAAGCAAACATTCAGTCATTACCAGGTGAGAAAGAAGAATCAATCACGAGGACACCTGAGTGCATCAACCAGGTAAGGCTGTTAGGTACCAAAGTGTATGGAGGTGTGGCTTGTCTAAATAAATAGTTCAGAAAGTTCAGTGGCTATCTACTTCTATGAAAACGGCTGTTTACACCTATTGTGCAACCATGTTGTCCAACTGTGTGTGTGTGCTAGTGATGCGCGGATTGACTTCTAACCCGGGGTATCCGCGGGTTACTTGCGGGTGGGGTTGGGTCGGGTCAATATATTTTTACTTCAGTACGGTGCGGTTTGGGGCGGGTTCATGAAATATAAATATTACATATATATATAAATATATATATATATATATATATATATATACACACACACTGAGGATAAAGACAATGCTGAATTTTTTAAAACACAATATTTAAGACATTATTTAAACATGGACACATTTTAAAACATAACTCCGCGCAGATAACCTTCGACCCCATGACGCAGGCACGTAGAGAAAGTGCCAATAAAGTGTGCCTAAGCTCCAAGCAGGTGGCAGGCAGCCACGTCAACAAAATGATGGAGGACAATATTTTGGATAAAATTCATTCGGGAGTTTACATTCTTAAAAGAAAGGAGGGACAAACTGCTAAACTGCGTGTTTGGGAAAGATTCAGCGAGGTAATCAGTGCAGAGAACAACAGCAGCATTTGCTGGACAAAAACAAGGACATAACAGGTAGTAATACCGCAGCAATTTCCTAATGTTGTGACTTGGCACACATATGGCAATAAAAACTTCTGATTCTGATTCTGAACAGGTAGTAATGCGTTTGTTGGTTTTCAAAATTTTTGATAAAAGTTGTAAAATGTTTTACTATTTTGTTTGCCCAAGCAGGGGTATTGGTTTAGTACACTATTAGTAGGGTAACCAACAAAAATAACCCTTATTTAATAAAATTTTAAACTTTCTTTATCAGTCCTATTTTATATTTTTTTATTTTAGCCTTTAAAAATGTAAATGTTACTACCATTTTCCAGTGCCAATTTGGGGGACTGTTTAACGCACCTTTGTCTGAATAAAAGCACATTCAATCAATAACGTGTTTTAATGAGGCAGGTCGGGGCGGCGTGGGTTGTAAAAATAGACCTAGTGATGCGGGGCAGTTTGGTGCGGGTCAGACATTATCAAATCTGCGGTACCCACGGGTTGAAAAAAACTAACCCGCGCATCACTAGTGTGCGCGCGCATGCACACATGCATGATTCTGCGCGTGTGTGTGTGTACAAGTGTACCGGTTACTACATCAAAGTGAGGACCAAAACAAGTTTTTTACCTGCAAACTGAGAACATTGGTAGCAAAGTGAAGACATTTTGCTTGTCCTCACTTTGGGACAATGTCACAGAGCTCTACTGTTTTGTTTAGAGGTGTGGTGTAAATCAAGTTTTAGTTAAGGTTAGGGTAAGGAGTAGAGCGGTTAGGGTTAGGGTTAGGCACAATCCAGTCACTAAAATGAATGGAAGTTAATTAATGACGGTGCTCACAATGAATGCTGGACTAGAGTGTGTGTGTGTGTGTGTGTGTGTGTGTGTGTGTGTGTGTGTGTGTGTGTGTGTGTGTGTGTGTGTGTGTGTGTGTGTGTGTGCGTGGGTGGGTGTGTGTGTGTGTGTGTGTGTGTACAAGTGCTGGCCAGTAAATTAGAATATCATCAAAAGGTTGAAAATATTTCAGTAATTCCATTCAAAACGTGAAACTTGTACATTATATTCATGCAATGCACACAGACCAATGTATTTCCAATGTTCATTACGTTTAATTTTGATATTTATAGGTGACAACCAATGAAAACATCAAATCTGGTATCTCAGAAAATTAGAATATTCTAAAGGCCAATGAAAAAATGTTTGTTTCTCTAATGTTGGCCAACTGAAAAGAATGAACATGAAAAGAATGTGCATGTATAGCACTCAATACTTAGTCGGGGCTCCTTTTGCCTCAATAACTGCAGTAATGCGGCGTGGCATGGACTCGATCAGTCTGTGGCACTGCTCAGGTGTTATGAGAGCCCAGGTTGCTCTGATAGTCGTCTTCAGCTCCTCTGCATTGTTGGGTCTAGCGTATTGCATCCTCCGCTTCACAATACCCCATAGATTTTCTATGGGGTTAAGGTCAGGCGAGTTTGCTGGCCAATCAAGGACAGGGATACCATGGTCCTTGAACCAGGTGCTGGTGGTTTTGGCACTGTGTGCAGGTGCCAAGTCCTGTTGAAAGGTGAAGTCTGCATCCCCATAAAGTTGGTCAGCAGCAGGAAGCATGAAGTGCTCTAAAACTTCCTGGTAGACGGCTGCATTGACCCTGGACCTCAGGAAACAGAGTGGGCCAACACTGGCAGATGACATGGCACCCCACACCATCACTGACGGTGGAAACTTTACACTGGACCTCATGCAACGTGGATTCTGTGCTTCTCCGCTCTTCCTCCAGACTCTGGGTCCTTGATTTCCAAAGGAAATGCAGAACTTGCTTTCATCAGAAAACATAACTTTGGACCACTCAGCATCAGTCCAGTCCTTTTTGTCCTTGGCCCAGGCGAGACGCTTCTTGCGCTGTTTCTTGTTCAAGAGTGGCTTGACACACGGAATGCGACACCTGAATCCCATGTCTTTCATGAGTCTCCTCGTGGTGGTTCTTGAAGCGCTGACTCCAGCTGCAGTCCACTCTTTGTGGATCTCCCCCACATTTTTGAATGGGTTTGTCGTCACAATTCTCTGCAGGGTGCGGTTATCCCTAGAGCTTGTACACTTTTTTCTACCACATTTTTTCCGTCCCTTCGCCTGTCTGTTAATGTGCTTGGACACAGAGCTCTGCGAACAGCCAGCTTCTTTAGCAATCACCTTTTGTGTCTTGCCCTCCTTGTGCAAGGTGTCAATGATTGTCTTTTGGACAGCTGTTAAGTCATAAGTCTTCCCCATGATTGTGGTGCCTTCAAAACAAGACTGAGGGACCTTTTAAAGGCCTTTGCAGGTGTTTTGAGTAAATCAGCTGATTAGAGTGGCAGCAGGTGTCTTCTATATTCAGCCTTTTCAGAATATTCTAATTTTTTGAGATACCAAATTTGGAGTTTTCATTAGTTGTCACTTATGAATATCAAATTTAAATGTAATGAACATTGGAAATACATTGGTCTGTGTGCATTGCATGAATATAATGTACAAGTTTCACGTTTTGAATGGAATTACTGAAATATTTTCAACCTTTTGATGATATTCTAATTTACTGGCCAGCACTTGTATGTGTATGTGTGTGCGCGTGTCTGGGAGAATCCAGTTGTGAATTAGGGATTTGTTGTTGGCTCCGATCTGGACTGCATCTCCAATGATGCATCAGAAACCTCAACAATCAGTCCTGAAAATAAAAGCAAATCATGTTAAAAAATAAAACAGAAAGACTAAAAAATTTACATTTTCGGTTTTAAGGTTTAGTCAGATTCATCTTATTGCTTATTAAAATCGATCAATCAAAGAGCATAGATATTCATAAAGTTGTTTTAATTATTTTTTATATGTTTATTGGAAAAGAAACAATATACATGAATACACAGAATGTACACACATACGCAGAAAGAAATACTGGGAGGTATAAACAAAAATAGAGGAGGCAGGGCATTCATCTTGACCACATTGATTTGTGGTCATTGCCAATTATAGACAAAGTGTTTTAATTCCACCTTTGGAAGATGTTTTAAAATTTAGCAGTTAAAGCTGCAATAGCAAATTTACAAAACAAGCTATCTTTTAAACATAAGCACAGTCATGGAACTCTCTATGCTGCCATTTAACGTTCCAAAAGAATGAAAGAAAGAACTTCAGAGTAATTTTGCTGGAACTTCCCGGCATGCATGTGTCTCCACTTAATCGGGCTGACCAAAAATACATTATTTCTGGGCCATTTACAGGTACTTCCAGGGTACGTAATTAGGGGTAGGTACGCAAAATAGGCCGGTGGAAATGCTGAGTGGAACTTTTGGTTAATTAACACTGATTTGTTGCAATTCAGGGGGAAACTACATCAGTAGATGCCATCCAAAACAACCAAGAATCATAGAATTAGAAGAAGTGCTTGTGAAGCAAAAATTGCCCAGCTTTAAAATATCTGTTCCTAAACTCCCAACAAAAACACGGTGGAATTCCTCCAAAACAACATAATTCACATGGAATTGTTGTTTCACAGAGCACCATGAAAAATTTCTTCTTTTAGTCATTGAACACTATATTTTACATAATGCAACTGCTCTTGTGCTCTGGAAGAATTAAATCATGCTGTATTTCAACTGAATAAAACTGTTAATGCTATTAATGTCTTTGGTTGGTTCTTACCACTGATCAGTGGCATAACCCACTGCCAAAGCAGTCATGATATGCTGACATCTGTACAAAGTTCTGAAAGGGCTGAATTTGAATGGAAACAAACAGCTGAGAGGACTTGTACATTGAATCTCATGCTCAATTTCCCCCTCCCAGAATTTATCTTTAAGTTCCAACATGGGAAACACACCTATTATTGAGCTGAGAACCTCTCACACCAGTGGTGTTCTGTTGCAAAATATGTGAGTGCTTGATGAATATAGGAATGTAGGAAGGTGGAAGTGTGATCTACTCATCATTACTACATCTGTGACAACTTACCTGGTTATGGTCAACTTCTGAGTCTCCAGAAATGACTATTCTTTTTTCAATTCTGGTTTCTGAAATGGCCCCTTTCACCATCTGATGACAGAAAGGTTCAGAGGAAAATAACAGTCATGAAACATCTGTGTTCAGTTCAATTCAAGTTTATTTATAAAGCGCCAAATTGCCGACAAGAGTCGTCTCAAGCCACTTCACACTATTAACATTCCACTACAGTTCAAGTCATTAAGCCAATCAGTAACAAGTTTCCTAGAGAAGTAACCCAGCAGCCCATGGAGTCACTGACTAGTGTCAGAGTCTTTACAGCAATCCTCATACTAAGCAAGCATGCAGCGACAGTGGAGAGGAAAACTCCCTTTTAACAGGAAGAAACCTCCAGAGAATCCTGGCTCAGTATAAGCAGCCATCCTCCGTGACTCACTGGGATGGAGAACACGGAGTGCGTGCACACACGCACTCACACACACACACACACATTTACAAAGAAATCCCCATTTCTTGGGCTCCTCTACAATAGCACTGCAGCCAATCATCATTAGACAGAGGGATAATGACCCATCCAATTAGAAGGGATCCAGCCTTATTTAAGAAGCCAGCTCACCAATGGACAATGGCAGCTGTGTGGTTGTGTGTATATACTATCCGTTGCCTTTAGCGCCGCTGAGGCATTGTAGTATAAAGGTGGATATTTATTTTCTCTTGTTGGTTATGGTGTTTGCTTCTAGGTTTGTTGGTAGGGAGGGTTAGGGTTAGCTAGGGCAGTAGCTCAGCAGGTTGAGCGGGTTGTCCAGTAATCGAAAGGTTGCAGGTTTGATCTCGGCTCCGGACAGAGAATTCTGCTGTTGTGTCCGTGGGCTAGGACACAGCAGGCAAGGTGGGCTTAACCCACCTTGCCTGCTGGTGGTGGTCAGAGGGACCGGTGGCGCCTGTGCTCGGCAGCCTCGCCTCTGTCAGTGCGCCCCAGGGCAGCTGTGGCTACATCGTAGCTCATCACCATCAAAGTGTGAATGTGTGTGTGAATGGATAAATGATACACTGTAGTGTAAAGCGCTTTGGAGTCATTTGACATAGAAAGGCAGTATAAAAGTGCAGATCATTTATAATTAATTTACCTTTGTGATGTGTGAAGTGGTGTTTGCATTGGAGGTCTCTGCAGTGAAGGTCTGAGAGCTCAGCAACAAACTTGCAGGGGGATCCTTTTGGCTCTAGAACATCAATAAGCAGAGGTGGAGAGAGTACAAACATTTTCTACTTAATTAAATGTACATATACTTTGATGAAATTTTACTCAAGTACAAGTAAAATTACCTAACTAAAAATGTACTGGAGTAAAAGTATGAAGTGGTTTGAATAAAATGTAGCCCTAACCCTAACCCGGTGAGTAGTGACGGATGGCTGCTCATGCTGATCCTGGTTCTGTTGGAGGTTTCTTTCAGTTAAAAGAGCTTTCCTCTCCACTGTCGCTACATGCTTGCTTAGTATGAGGATTACTGTAAAGACCCTGATACAACAAGACAGTGACTTCATGCAATCTGCTGGGTTCCTTACATAGGAAACTTTTCACTAATTGGCATAATGAACTGAACTCAATGTACTGATAAGTAGTTTCAATTGGAATGCTTACTTTGTCAAGTGCCTTGAGACATCTTATGAATTGTTGCTATATAAATAAAATAAACTAAATTGAATTGAATAAAAGTCATCGACGCACAATGTTATTTAAGGGTGTTGATTGACTTGGCAAAATAAGCTTTAAATGCTGAAAAATATCGAAGCAACATTTGTTTCTGTGCTTCCTCCCACCTGCCCCAAAAAACTACTTAGATTTATACGATTCATGTGAAGGCCATATTTGCCTCCAAAAATGCTGATTTTTCATCAAAAAGCAACAACATTGCAGGAATGTAATTAGAGGTACAAACTTTAAACACAGCTAACAGTTTTTAGACAGTACCAGAATTCAGTCCAATGAATCCATCCAACCATCCATTTTCTTTTGCTTATCCGGAGTCGGGTCACGGGGGTAGCAGCCTAAGTCAAGAGGCCCAGACTTCCTTCGCCCCAGCCACTTGGGCCAGCTCTTCCTGGGGAATCCCAAGGCGTTCCCTGGCCAGGTGAGAGACATAGTCCCTCCAACATGTCCTAGGTATCCCTTTAGGCCTCCTCCCGGTTAGACGCGCCCAGAAAACTGAGCCACCTCAACTGGCTCCTCTAGATGTAGAGGAGCAGCGAATCTACTCCAAGCCCCTCATGGATGACCAAGCTTTTCACCCTATTAGACTGACTGGTACAACGCCCGCATCACTGCAGATGTAGCACCAATCTGCCTATCAATCTCACGCTCCAGCGTTCCCTCATTCCTGAACAAGACCCCAAGATACTTAAACTCCTCCACTTGAGGCAGGACCTCATCCCTGACACAGAGAAGGCATTTTACCCTTTTCCGAATCAAGACCATGGTCTCAGATTTAGAGGAGCTCGGCTGCGACCCGCTCCAGTGGAAGCCGAAGATCACATTCTGATGAAGCCAACAGGACCACGTCATCTGCAAAAAGCAGTGACCCGATCCTCAGGCCATCAAAACAGATGTGCTTAACACATTGGCTGCACCTAGAAATCCTGTCCATAAAGGTTATGAACAGTATCAGTGACTAAGGGCAGCCTTGGCAGAGTCCAACTCTCACTGGGAACGAGCCCGACTTACTGCCGGCAATGCGGACCAAGCTCTGACACCTGTCATACAGGGTTAGGGTTAGACTAACCCTAACCCTAACAGCCCGTATCAGAGGACCTGGTACCCCATACTCCCGGAGTACCCCCTACAGGGCCCCCCGAGGGACGCGGTCAAACGCCTTCTCCAAATCCACAAAACACATGTAGACTGGTTGGGCAAATTCCCACGCACCCTCCAGGATCCCCCTAAGGGTATAGAGCTGGTCCAGTGTTCCACGGCCAGGACGAAAACCACATTGCTCCTCCTGAATCTGAGGTTCAACAATCCGACGGACACTCTTCTCCAGAACCCCTGAATAGACCTCAACAGGGAGGCTAAGGAGTGTGATCCCTCTGTAGTTGGAACACACCTTGCTGCCCCATTTTTTAAATAGGGGAACCACCGCCCTGGTCTGCCAGTCCAGTGGGACTGCCCCCAATGTCCACGCGATAATGTAGAGCCACGTCAGCCAACACCGCCCTACAACATCCAGAGCCTTAAGGAACTCTGGAGCAGATCTTATCCACCCTCGGAGCCTTGCCACAGAGGAGCTTTTTAACTACCTCAGTGACCTCAGCACCAGAGATTTGAGGCCCGACTCAAAGTCCCCAGACTCTGCTTCCTTACTGGAAGATGTGCCGGTGGGATTGAGGAGGTCTTCGAAGTATTCTGCCCACAGATTCACAATGTCCCAAGTAGAGGTCAGCAGCACACCGTCCCCAGTATAAATGGTGTTGATAGCGCACTGCTTTCCCCTCCTGAGGTGTCGGATGATGGACCAGAATCCCATCGAAGTTGTACGGAAGTCTTGCTCCATGGTCTCACCCAACTTCTCCCACGCCTGGGTTTTTGCCTCCGCGACCACCCGAGGACATTCTGCTTGGACTGCCTGTACCGATCACCTGCCTCTGGAGTCCCACAGGTTTGATAGGACTTTTTCTTCAGCTTGATAGCATTCCTAACCACCGGTGTCCACCAGCGGGTTCGGGGGTTGCCGCCACGACAGGCACCGATGACCCTGCAGCCACAGCTCCAATCGGACGCCTTAACAATGGAAGCACAGAACAGGGCCCATTTGGGCTCAATGTCTCCCGCCATCCCCGGAACCTTTTGGAAGTTCTGTCGGACAGAGCAATTAAATTCATTTCAAGTTTATTTATAAAGCGCTTAATCACGACAATAGTGGTCTCAAGGCACTTCTCACAGTAAACATTCAAACACAGTTCAGTTCATTCAAACAATCAGCAAAACATTTTCTACATAAGGACCCAGCAGGTTGCATCGAGTCACTGACTAGTGTCAGAGTCTTTACAGCAATCCTCATACTAAGAAGGCATGCAGCGACAGTGGAGAGGAAAACTCCCTTTTAACAGGAAGAAACCTCCAGAGCAGGGGTGTCAAACATGCGGCCCGTGGGCCGGATCCGGTCCGCAAGTGGGTTAAATCCGACCCGCGAGATGGTTGTGTAAACTTTATTTTCATATTTTACAATGTAGAGTGAAAATAAACTCATCATTGTGAGCAAGTTTTCTCTGTAATGAGTATAAATAAAACAAAGCTGCGCTCAAGGCTCACACAAGAACTTGAGTCACATCCTGAAGTTGGCCGCCACTCAGGATGTGACTTCTGATGTTGATGTGCTGGTGAAAGCTAAAAGATGTAAAGTAAAATGAGTCAAATATACTTTACGTGCTGCATGAAACGGATCTAGCCATGTGACCTGTAAGCTGTTTGAATCACTAAGGAATGTTTTTTTATTGATTGATGGTTTTTTTTTTCTTCCAAATTTTCAAGTTCACTTCAGGTGTTGTACTTGTACTATTTTGGATACACTGTCCTCAGGCTCCAGCTTTGTTTTATATTGATTGTATTAAAACAAAGGAAACAATCTGAAGTTGTTTTTAATTTACCGGTCCGGCCCACTTGGGACTAGATTTCCCTCAATGTGGCCCCTGAGCTAAAATGAGTTTGACACCCCTGCTCCAGAGGATCCTGGCTCAGTATAAGCAGCCATCCTCCACGACTCACTGTGGATGGAGAAGACAGAGCGCATGCGCACGCGCACACGCACGCACGCACACACACACACACACACACACACACACACACACACACACACACACACACACACACACACACACACACACACACAATCATCATCATCATCATCATCACCTTTATAAAAGCACCTTACAGACATATCATGCCACCAAGGTGCTGCACAAGACTAAACTAAAAAGATAAAAACAAAGAATATATAGGAACCCAATAAAAAATAAAAATAAAAACAGCAAAATACAAAACATCAGTTAACACACAGATTTAAAAGCCAGATTATAATAATGGGTCTTCAGCTACTTCTTAAAAACCTCTACTGACGTGGAGAGTCGCACGGATAATGGAAGACCATTCCATAATTTTGGGCCTGCTACCGAAAAAGCCCTGTCTCCTCTTGTTTAGAGCCTAGTTGCGGGGACTAGAAGCATATGGTGACTCTCTGAGCGGAGCGAATGACTAGGTATATATGGCTGTAGCAAGTCAGATAAATATTCTGGTGCCATTCCATTCAATGCCCTAAAAACCAATATAAGAATTTTAAAATGCACTCTAAAAACGACCGGTAACCAGTGCAGATCTGCCAGGATGGGTGTCACATGATCACATTTCCTTTTCCCTTCTAGGAATCTTGCCGCGGCATTTTGCACAAGCTGCAGATGAGCTACTGTACTCTGTCTCACCCCAATTAAGACAGAGTCACAGTAGTCTAAACGAGAGGTGATAAACGCATGCACGACAGTCTCGAGGTGCTTTCTAGTTAAAAATGACTTCACTTTGGCCAGACATCGCAAGTGGTTAAAAGAGGACGATACAACTGTGCGCACGCACACACACACACACACACACACACACACACACACACACACACACACACACACACACACACACACACACACACACACACACACACACACACACACACGCCTAGTAGTTTCTATGGTTACATTGTGATTTCTTAGTAAATATTCAATTTAGTGAGAGATTGACTTTATTGTATTTATCCTAGTGAATTAATTCTTTTTTTTTCTTTTTTTTTCCATGTCCTTTCTGGCTGTGAAGCAAACAGAATTGATGTCTGAATGCTGGTGACAAGCCTTACAGATTTACTCTCAGGTGGATCATCAACGCGTCTGCTTTTAATGTCACGCCTGATACTTAAAACTTTATTGTTATTGTTTTTGAATGCTTTGTCATTCCGACCAGACACGGAGTCAGAGGTGAAAGAGAAAGGAAGAGACAAAAGATGGGGGTGGGGGGGTGGGGGTTCCACAAAAATAAACAATAATGAAGAAGACTGCTTCTAGACCTGCACAAAGAGAGAAGAAAAAAAGGGAACACAACAACAATGCAACAGGAGCAAGCTATCACTGCATCAGCCTGATGATGAAATATAAAATCAACATTGTTTAACTGAACAATCACACGATAATAAAT